AGGCTTAGATCCGCCCCTACCATCTCGGGGCTATGAGGACTCCAGGAGATGGGGGAAGAGTGACGGTCAAATGCTGTGCATACAGCCACACTGCCAGCTGGACTCCCTGAGCTGAGCGACCAGATGGTCAGTGGCAGTCCTGTGAGCAGTCGGTTCCTTCTTGAGCCATATTCTGCAAGGCTCATGCTCTGTGTAGAAGCGTACTGGCTCTCCCCACTGGCCGGCACCATTGGGTTTGTTTTCTCTGGCAGAGAGCTTAATCCTTGGTCACTTTCGGCACTGGAATGGAAAATTCTGGTACAGTTTTCTTAATACTGTATTCTTGATTCCTTCATTTGTTTTCCTCCTGTCTTTAGTTTGCTGAGACTGCTGGGTAATTCTGTCCAGAGAGAGCTGTAGGAATACATGGCCCCACCCTGCAATGAACACCAGGGGCCAACCACCCTGACTGGTGCCTGGCACTCACAGCAAGCCGGGACAGCTAGATGGCACAGGCAGAGAAGGGACCCTGCTGTGACTCCAGGGCCACCTGTTCTGTACCCTTTAAACACACCCATCCTTCTGGGTTTCTGCAGCCACGTGAGTGTGCTTGGGTCCAGCCCCAAGTTTGTCTGCCTTACCTCACCCCACTATAAGGGATCATTATGAAATGAACAATTTTTGTCCTATAAGAGGCCTGAGCCATTCTTCCCAGGATACTAATACATCCTTTTTTTCCACCTTATAAAGCAGCAAGATGTTTGCACACACACAGACCACTGATAACTTCATCTTTCTTCACCTCAAGCTATCCCACCTTTCCTACCCCTCAGATATGGCTTTCCATCCTAAAAATACTCCTATGTTCTATGTTTGGTAAGGCAAACCGAAGTCTAGGGACTCCCAGTGGGCTAAATTCCCTGGCTTCTTAAAACTCGCTGCTTCAAGAACCGGCATACTGGGAGGCAGGCAAAGTCCAGTTTGTTTGGGTACCCCAGGAAACGGCTCAGGAGGGAAGGCTGAAAACAACGACCGGCACACACCCTAAAAAGTCCCGTGTGGAAGCACCAGGCTGGCACACAAAGTTCTCTGAAGAGACCCAAGCTGCGGCCAGAGGGAGACAGGTGAAGGTACCAGGATGTTAATGCTTAGGGGCTCTGACTCAGCCAGCAGGGACACTATTCCTGAAGTCTACCTTAAAGGTCCTCCTTGAGTTCCTCAGAGAGCAGGCGACACATTTGCCTCTGGTGCTTGTTATTTATCACCTTCCCCTCCTCTGAAGAATCTTTATACAGCAAACCTCCATGGCATCAGTACAGGGCGGGGCTCGGCCACTCTGTATTGCACCACCACCCAGGCAGGACAGCTCTGGACCACGTGGCTGCTGAACTAAGACCTGTCAGTGACTTGTTCTCTAAGTGCTAGGTACACTTCAAGGACATCTTACACGTACACCCAAGTCTCACAGTGGTACTTGGTTATTGTCCTCGTGTTATGACTCTGGGTACTGGGGCAGCAACTGGTGGTGACAAGCAAGGGAACTTAGCCATGCGGGCCCACGCCTCTGGCTTGTGAATGAGAACTCCTGGAAAGGAATTCCACAGGGCCAGAGAGATGGCTCAGCAGTTAAGAGCACTGACTGCCCTTCCAGGGGACCTGGGTTCAATTCCCAGCACCCACACGGCAACTTGATTGTCTGTAACTCCAGTTCCAGGGCTTCTGACACCCTCACAGAGACATACACACAGGCAAAACACCAATGCACATAAAATAAAAATTTCTAAAAAGTGGTGTCTGCAAAGGCCAGCAAGCTGATAATTAGCAGGTAAAATTCCTTTGGAGTGAATGAGCAGACTCCTAGTTCCCACCAATCAGATCATATCCAGGGCCTACAGCCATCTTCCCCGCTGTGCTATCACCTGGCTGCCTGAAGAACCCACATTTTAAGTGTCTTAATTTATGGCTTTATGTTCTGGCCCTACAAAAAACTTCATGTAACTGGAACATGTAACTTCCAACACTGGAAGATGGAATTTGGGGTGATCTAAGTTAGTGTTCCCCAGCCACAGCCGTTTATATTTGGCTCCAGAATAAACTCTTTATCCCCTTTGACATGGGAGTGTTTTTGCACCAAAGGCCTCAGCTACACCAGCACTGGCTCCGCAGTGCTTCAGGTCAGTTTCCCTAGGTCAGCACCAGCAGCCACGACGCTCGGCTGAAAGGTGAGGTGAGGGAAGCAAGAGATCCATCACGCTGCTGCTGCAGTGCAGTCGAGCCAGACCTAACAAAACTGCTCAGAACGCGGTAGTTAGAAAACAATCGTGTTTTCTTCAGACAGGGTTTCACTATGCAACAGAGGCTGGCCTTGAACTCCCCATCTTTCTGGTTCCGTCTCCCAAGTGTTGGGATTATAGGTATGTACCACCATGCCCAGGAACCTGCTGTTTTATCCCAAGGGACTAACCAGCCAAGGGACTAACCAGAAGTCTTTGTGAATGTTCTCCCTAGGGAGAGTAGGGGGTGTTTACCACCTTGCTCAACAGAGGCTGGCAAATCTTGTCCCTACCTGTGTCTCCTCCTGGCTGTGGACAGACTACAAGAGGACAGAGAGCCCTGCTCTGGCAGGATCACAAACATCTGAGCCCAGTCTGTGTGTCCTGACACAGCTATTCTGCGGGACATTTGAAAAGGGTAACAGGATGTCTCAATCCTGGAGTCCCACTGGAGCAGGTACAGTGGCGGGGTAGCCACTTTCACTTTCCATGTGCCTCACCGGCTCCAAGAACCACCTGTGACACTAACTGCAGCCTAAGCCAGAGTGCTATAGGTCAGGGAGGCTGGAGCCCTGGAATCCCCTGAACAAGCACTCTTGGGAACAGCCCGACCTACTTGGAGCTTCTGTCAATTTCCCTGAGACAGTCCCAGCGAGAACCTCTTTAGTGCTGAGGAGTCTACTGGTCTGGACCAGGGGTCCTGGCTCTTTGGTCCAGGACGTGTTAGGCATCTGAGAGACACGGAAGTCAGCCGTCATCCGGCCAGCTGTGCTGGATGAGCTACCACCACCTATCGTGTACCCGTCACTGGTCACACTACCTCATTTAGTACACACAGACACCTTATAAAGTTACTGCCATTATGAGCCTCGTTAGGAGGTAAGGATGAAGCCACTTCCTGAAAGACGCGACATTAAACCTAGGCAGTCACTCCAGAGCCTAGGCGCTCACACTGCCCTTTTGCAAACAGAATTCTGCTTACTTCAGTCGTAGTTCACGTCTGTCCTCCTCCCACCTACTCAGCTTTGTTTCCTAAACCTGTCCCAGCTGACAGCTGTTGGGCGTGGTGGCACGCACGTAAAATGCCAGCAGGTGGGAGACTGAGATGGGAAATCTCAATCTGGGCTACGCAATAAAAGGAGGCTAGCCTGGCCTGCGCAGAAAGAGCGTGTATCAAGAAAGCACAAGGGGACCGCTGCGAGCCATTCTCTGAGAAGACCAGCATGTCAACAAAGCCCCAGCTTATGTGGAACTCAGGGCGGTTGCAAAAGTAGTCATACCACCTTCACCGCCGTAAGGAGGAAGCTGTAACTTTCAACAGGCCCCTAAGGGAAGTTACTCGCTGCAGTGACCAAGCAAACAGAAAGTCAGCAGGTAACCTGGGCTCTGTGGAGACCCAAGAGTAGTGACAAAAACAAAGGCATTGATGGACATCACTCAGAGTAGGCCAGTCAGATTCACGCGCCCCGGGCGTACTTACAGGTCTGACACCTTGACTTCTGTTTGTCCCCTTCAGCAGAGCGCTCTCCAGCCTGTCTTTAGCTCCTGCTTTGCTTCCTGTCCAGTCAGTGCTGCCCGCCTACCTACCAGAACCCAGCCAGTCTATCAGGTAGTCTAGATTCTCCCAGAGAACTCAGCCAGCCATTGCACCCCTTTACATGGCTCACAAATTCCAACGAAGTCTAAACTTAACTGTCGTCCCATACCATCTTGGAGCCAGGGCCTAGTTTCCAAGATATGCTACCAGCCAATCAGCTTGGCTGCCTCTTTGGGTTTGCTCCCTGGCTGCTGGGTGCTTGGCCTTCTATATCTGCCACCTCACCAACCTGGCAGCACTGGCAGATCAGCCCTAACGTCCACGCTGACCAAACCAAGTATGTGATGCGCTGATGGCCGTGACAGAGGCGGCACGTGGGCCTGCAGCACTTGTGAAACCTTCAGGCAGCTTATGCCCATGCCTCACCTGACCTCTTCCCCTGCCAAGGGAGGAGAGCAAGGCCTTCAGTGTCCTGCTTCCCCAGCGGCTTTCTCCTTTTTCGGGTACCTCAGCTATTGATGCTGCCTCCTGCACAAACACAGCCTATCCACCAGGGCTCATTAGCCAGACACTATGGACTGACACTCAAGGGACCGAAACCCCAGCACCCTCTGCATTCTAAAGCAAAGAACTTACCTCACTTCACTTCTTCCCTTGGTCTATGAAAACGGTACTTCCTGTCATTCAGACTGGAAAACCAAACGAAGATGCTTTCTGGCCGGAAACTCTTTTCTTTCAAGCGTCAAAGAAGTTCAGGTTGGAGTTGGGTCCATGGTAGTTAACTTGATGCTGTTGTGGACTCTGACTTCCGGGCTTTGGCAGCTCTGCTGCTTCTGCTGTTACTGGAATTCTCTAGAAACTGAAAAACCCCAGCCAGTACCAGCCACCTCTCACACTGGACACTCATCAGCAGGAGAGTAAGAGCCACACAGCTCTGAGCCGTCGTTTCCTCCCAAGAGCACTGTTTAGCAGGAGCTGCTGCCACAGTGACCCAGTGCAAGCCTCAAAGTCGCCTTCTAGCAGTCCCTTAACCACTCTCAGGCTGAGAGACAGGAAGAAACACATCTGGCGACAGCTGCTCCTGGCTCTGCAGGCTCCAGGCAGAGATCTCTGCTTCTCTTTCAAGGATCCACATAGGCCCAGCAGCTTCCAGAAGGCTCTTTCCTCAACTACCTTGGCCATTGCAGGGGCAAGAAGACACCACTACCAACAAGGATAAAATAAGTTTTTATTTATATTCTTATAGTAAAGGGGGAAGCCTTAACTTGCAAGACAATTCTTGGGCAGTATGTACAACATACTTTTTATTTCCATGGAATGGAATCAAATACCGACTGAGACTACAGAGTATACACTAGAAATCAGCAAATGCTGGCAACAGAGTAGGAAAAGACAAAGAAATGAAGCCTGAAGACATGAAACCCTTCACTGGGCTCTGTTGACCACAGCCAGAGCCAGGGCTGGATCCACAGTGGCGACAAGTTCCAGGACTGGAGGCAAGGAGGGAGGGAGGCTGTAGTGGGCTGTGGGTTTAGTACCAGGTAAGTCGCTCTTGGTATTTACATACAAAATAGTTGGCTCTATTTCTTAGAAATACACGCAGAAAGAAATGAAGATTTGATCATTACTTTATGAATCTGTCGCTTTACAGTATCGACATCATCAGAAATAGGGGCATTTCATTCAGATTCAAATTTCAGTAGCAGGAAATAAATATCAAAACATCATCACTGGCCCTTAATACAAAACCTCTACCCCTCCTATGACTCCCTCCCTCCCTGTCCCGCCCACACATAACCACCCCTACCACTCCTGGTGGCTGTTTCACTGCTGCCATCTCCTATACATACCAGTGTCACGTGACCTTCTGTAAGGCTGGCTCTGCAGGCTTAAACAACTGAAGCGTGAAACATGCCAAGGATTCTGCAAATCTGTCCCTGCTTTCCTTTTCACCACAAACTTCTTCAAGAATCTGTTGGTCTTTCAACAGGAGCGATAGATGGTGTTTCCAAAAACCAATCCTTACAGAGGAGGGGCAATTCTGATTACTCCAATCTGGTCATCTTGCCAAAGTAGAGCAGTTCAGAGTCACAAATTCCACCAAACAGAGGTGAGAGGACTGGGAGGGGCCTAGCGGGCAGATGCCCTCCAGGCACACTCTGAAGGCAGGAGGAGTTGGGGGGTGGGGTGGGCAGGACACCATGTACTCAGAGGTCTGGCCGGCTGTCTGTCCTCCACAGAAAGAGCTGCCAAGTTAGGGTGTTTTGGTTTAAAATTTCTGGTGGGGACAGGAACCCCTGAAGGGAACACATTTAAAAATAGTGGACACAGGGAAGGGATGAGAGCTGTTGTCCAAGAGCTTCTATGCAAAAATAACAATTAATAAAGAGAGAGGAAACTAAAGAGTCTGTCAATGGTTTGCGAGTTCTAATGATGAACTGAGGAGGATGAGGCGGTGGAGTTGACAGTTTTTATTGCTGGCCTGCCCCGCATGGCTTAGCTGGCCTCCATCCGGAGTTTCTTCCTGCTCTGGGGCTCTTCAGGCTCGGACTCTGAGCTGGAGTCTGAACCTCCATCGAAGGCAGAGATGGTGCCGCCCTTGGCGTTGGTGTAGAGGCTGTTGTCTGAGGAGGGGTAGTTGGTCTGCAGTTGGGCACTTGATCTTGCCTTCTCCAGTGCACGGACTAAAAGGCAACCAAGGGAGCATGTTACCACCTTCTGGTGATCCGGATAAACCAAATCTCAGACTCAGGGTCCAGCCTGTTCTTCCTAAGGGTTTGCTTGCTGGCCCCCAAGGCACAGGGTGGCTCAGAAATCATTCCCTTCTGGTGGCTGTTCCCCCTTTTCTTTTCCCAGCTGGACTTGGGGGCCCAGCACACATGGCCAGCCACTCTGCCATACCACCCTGAAGAGAAGGCTTGTGATGAGACACCGTCCTGCTATGGACCCAGCACAGAGACCAGAGCAAGAGTACCCTGTTGGATCGAGCAATGCAATGAGAGGAGAACCTAGCCTGGCAATGCCAGGCTCCATGAAAGTGTGAAGGCCCAATGAGAGTGGGAAAGGATGACTAAATAGATTGGGTCAAAGGAAACTTTTGGCTTGGCTCTTATGAACAAAATCCACTTGGAATGACAAGCTGGACACTTGGAAGCAAGTCACCAATACACACAAAATACCTGGGCTTTTCAACAGACACCCCTACATGCAGGCTGTTTGGCCCATCATCCAACCCACTACCGCCGCCCACTGCCCATCCCTTGGTTCAGCTCAACTTGAGCCTGGAGGATCAACCCTTCATGTTATTTATTTTATGTGAGATGTTCTAACCCAGGTGGTTACTTGCATTTCCTTTTACTTGCATCTTCCATGAGGGAGGAAGAGAAGTGAATTCCCCAGGAACAAAGAACTTGATCAGCTCTCGCTTTCCCCTGTGGTTGTAGGAAAAGGCGGGTGTGAGCATTGGAGAAGAGCAGGGGCCTGGCCCATAGGCTGCCCTGATTGGACTACTATTGGCAATAGGGAGGGCTCACTGTCCCTGAACTCCTGGAGATGCTGGTACTTACATGGCACATTCTACTCCAAGGACCTCAAAGCTCTGTTCAGAAACCTGACACCAGGTATGACCCTTACTGTAGGCAGAGCACCTGAGCCCCAAGGAAGGGAGAGATCAGGCCAGAAAAGATACAAGCCTTTGGATGTTCAACTCCCTAGTTCCTCCATCTCCTCACTGGAGGGTCTGGTCCTTCCTCAGGATGGCTCTAACACTCAACTTCGAAGGCCCGTGGAGCAGGGCTGAGGATGCTTCTGAGGCATGGTCCTCTGGCTCTGACTGAAGGCCCAGGTGTGAAAGCCCCAGCCTGGCCGGGCACAGCAGGGCCAATTGCCCCATGAGCGTGGCTGCTCACCTTGCTGCTCCAGAAGAGCATTCTGCCGCTTGAGGTCATCAATGTCTTGCTGGTGCGTGTGGTTTTTCCTTCGCATATACTGGATATACTCTGTTGCCTTGTCTAAGATTTGGGCCCGGGATGCCTGTTGCAATATGAGAAGAAAACATGGGACAAAATAAAGACCAAGTCTGCGTAGCAGGAGAACCATGTCTTTCTCTGGCAACAGCATGAGGGAAAAAGGCTGAAAACAGGAGGGTGAACAAGATGGAAATGGCTAAGGAAAAAGCCCAGCTATGGCTGTTATCCCAAAGTACCATGTGATTCACCTATACAGGTCTCAGCTCTACCAGGAAGCCTAGACTCAGAGCCACACTTACTAAAACCACCAGCTAGCCTGTGGACAGCTGGGCCTTACAGTTTGTCTGGCTCTGAACTTGTATTCCTCTCATCTCCTCTGCATTCTTTTCTGATAGACTTGTTTGTTTGAGACAGGCTTTTAAGGCCAGGTAGGCCTCCCAGCTGTTGGGATTATAGCCATGAGCCACACTCTCAACCCTCCGGCTCTTCAGTTTACTTTAAAGTCTTCCGCTTGCCGCTGACCTTGAACTCACTATGTAGCTGAGTCTGTCACCCCTGCCTTTACCTTTTAAGTGCTGGGATAATTACTCCCAGTTTTATGTGGTGCTAGGGATTAAACACAGGGCTTTGTACCTGTTAGACCCAGCTGGACTAAATCAAATGTCAAAACAAAATGAAAACTCAGGCCACACACACTCTGCTAGGCCTTGGCTACAGGCAGCCAGTTCAGAACGACAAGATCATGGACTGGCCTGGAATAAAGATGGGTACATGTCTTTCCATCAAGGTCTTAAACTTCCCCAGCCTCAGACTACTGGCAAGTAAGCTCAAATGAACAATGCTCCTGCTGCATCACCGTCTTTGTCTGTCTAAAGAGTGCATCATGAAAGCTGGAGGTGCTTGATGTCAACACAGGAAGCAATTGGGCCATCCCAGGAAACAGCCACACCTCTAGATTATGGTAGACAATTTGGGCCGGGCACAGCAGGGGAACAAGTAAAGTAATAAATAAGTCAATAAAATGGATAACAGGTTACTATTTACTGGGCCCCTACAATCATATTGTTTGGAAGATTCCCACCAAGCTGCATGTATGGCCAGGGTTAAGGCCAGGCCACCAGCCCAGCATGTAAGACAGCACAAAGACAAGCTGAAGGCCGGCAGCACAGGAGCCCCGAGTGGAGCATTAGGAAAACTTTGCACTCAAAACAGTCCTACATTACACCCCAGGGCTCCAAAGCAAACCGAAAACAACACTGAGGGGAAGGCAAAACACACAAAACTCAAGTTGGTAAACCTAAAATTAACTCATACTAAATCCTACCGATCAACTGACAGGGTAGGCGAGGTGAGGCCTGAACTTTCATCAGTCATCGAAAACATTAAAATTCCCAGGCCAATCAACAATTCCTGACTGAAAATTATTCAGTTCACTTTATTTTGTCCTTTCCAGGATACTCAAAAAGTCTAAAAACCGCAACAAAATGTGAAATTAATATCCACCCAAGGGAGAAAAACAAAAGGCTAAAGTCAGAAAATGCTAGATTCATCTGTAACCTACACATCTCTTCAAATCACACGACTACATAAGCAGCCACAACTGTATGGCGTGGGCCCCTCCCAGCCTTTATGAGTTCATAGTACTCATACAATAAACATGAAGGTACTGGGACTTGTGGAATGGACTATGGAATGGCTCCAGGCTTTCAGTTTCTGTTTCTGAAAAGGCTCAGTCAGCTGGGTCAACTGGCAATGTTCATGAATCCTCCGACCACGGGGAGTCAACGTGCCCACACCAACCACTTCCTTAGTAGGCACCCAAATGATTTTTTTATGTTTAGTTTTTCATGTTTAAAGAGCACTGATTCCGCCTTTCCAAGCAGAAATGGCTCTTCCGAATAGTCTGAACAGAGCTGCTGGACAAGACAGACTGGGGTTGAGGGATTAAAGAGGCAGCGATGCTATATAGAAATAGCAGCATGGAGAGTCACAGAATAGATGCTATGTAGCCTTGCCAGTTCTTGTTGCAAAGCTATCTTAAACACAGCAGCAAGAATAACCAGTACAGCAGAAACAGCTGCGGCTCACACTGAGTTCTAGCCGCCAGTACTAGGCCCCCATACACCCTCCCCGCTAGGAAACTTACCCCATGTTAGTTAGCTTGAAGGCAATAGTCAGAATGTGAACCCAAGTTTTGAATACACTCATACTGTAGGAAGAGGCAGCTGTAGTAGTAATTTTTCCCAAGACAGGGTTTCCCTATAGCTTTGGAGCCTGTCCTGGTACCTAGCTCTTGTAGGCCAGACTGGCCTCAAACTCACAGAAATCTGCCTGCCTCTGCCTCACAAGTGCTGGGATTAAAGGCCGTGTGCCACCACAGCCCAGTTGTAGCAGTAATTTTAAACGAGCAACAGAGCCACAGAGACAGGAGCTCTCATGGTGAGGAAAAGTAAAGATGAGGACAGGACTTCAGGAGAACCCTTGATTTGCCTGCAAGGACAGCAATGAAAACCTCAAAGTAGAGTCAAGGCCCGCCAGTGAGCCAGCTCCACACAGGCACGGGCCTGGGTTGAAAAGCAATGGCTGAAGACTAACTAGTCTTTTTGGTTAAAAAGTAAAAAGCAAGAAACAAATCAAACAGTAATAATAACAACCAGCTTATAATAGTAATAGCACCAAAGAACACTGCTTTCCATGCACGCATGACCCTCAGGCTCCTAGCAAAGAAATGCTGGGTGAGGAAGAGCCTGAAGATGATGCAGCACGCTAGCTGGAAGGACTCTGCTGGACGGGGCAGGGCAACATTTCACAAAAGGACTCAAAGCCTTCAAAAGCTGCTGATTCCAGTTATGATCTTCTGTGTGTGTGCGGGAGGGGAGGGAGAAGCTCAAGACAGGGGTTTCTCTGTGCAGCCCTAGCTGTTTTGGAACTAGCTCTGTAGACCAGACTGGCCTCAAACTCACAGAGCTCTGACTGCCTCTGCCTCCCGAGTGCTTAAATTAAATGTGTGTGCCACCACCCAACAGTCTCCAAACAGGGCCAGTGAATGAACCTACTCAGTAGAAGAACAGAACCAACACCCAAAATCTGTCTTCCTCTGGCACCCAGCCACAGCCCCCGACACAACATAAAGCTCAAGAGTCCCACATTCTAGTTTTCAGTCTGACCAGACTTACTTGTTTCTGTATAAAAAACTAAACTGGTTTAGACAACAGCAGGACACGGGAGGCAAGGTAGAGTACAGCAGCCCCAGACCTCCGCCCTTCCCTGAGGAAGGAGCTTGGGCCAGTAGCTCCACTAGACCCTGTTCTTCTCCACATTCAGATGCTAGCTGGGCATGGCGGACCACTATGTCTGCTGTATTCGCGAGGCTGAAGGAGAATGGCGAGCTCAAGGCCAGCCTGGTTCACAAATAAGACTTGCTTTGAAGAACTAAATGGGGGACAGAGCAGGCAGATCTGGTATACATTTCTGTTGAGTAAGTCTTTCTCTAAATGAAAATTAGCAAATCTGTGTAAGAAATGTGGGTCTCCTTTAAACTAGTTCACTCTAAAATGGAATCGTCAGTGGTGGCACGGGCGGCTGAAGGTTGTGAAGTTCCCTAAGGGTTTCAAACTTCTAGGCCCTTGGCAGGCGTGGCTGACTGCGAGGCAGATGCAGAAATGACAGACCCTGGAAGACTTTGGTTTAAGGGTCAAAATTGTTTTTCAAACCTCATGGGCTTCATTGTGCCACTGAGACCCTGATAGAAGGTGTGGCACTTCCCCATGAAAACAAGTACAACTCCTCGGTCCCTGAAGAGGAACTAGATCTAGTGAGTAACATGTGGAAAAGTATTTACTTTCAAAAGTAATAAACAAAAATGTAAAAGTAATTACTAGTTTTTGCCTACTTAGTTAGTCATCCTCTAAGGGGAAAACAAAACAAAACAAAACAAAACCCAGTGATGGTGAAACTGAGACAGTCAAACTCTGGGGAAAGACTCCAAACTGTACGATGAGCGAATGAGATGAAAACAGGCGTCCTGGCAAGTGTTCTGGCAATACCCAGCAAAGTCAGTGGCTACCAGCTTTCATCTGTATACAGACTGGCCACACACATCATGCTGTTCATCACTACTTTAGTTATAAAACTACAAGTGTACAAAACCCAAACTGGTAACAGAAATACTCCAAATGACTAACCACGAGGAAAAGCAGGTGTAAGTAAGTACAGCAAGCTGTGTTACACTATCCATGGCAAGTGTGCTTACGAGACCAGGAGACCAGAGCAGAGAGTTCCCTACTTGCTTCTTAGACTTTATCAATTCTATGCATTAGGGGTAGAAGGTTCTCACATAGCCCAAGATAGCCTCAAGCCCACTAAGTAGTTGAGTTGAGGCTGACCTTGAACTTCACCTCCCAGGTACTGTGATTACAAGTGAGCACCACCATACCTGGTTATACAATGCTGGGGATGGAACCCAGGGCTTCAAGCATGCTAGGCAAACCCTCTGCCAATGGAGTTACATCTACAGTCTCTGAGTTAAAAATTAAAATAATAGCTTTTGGTGGGGAGAAAAAAAGGAGACAAGTCTGACATTGACTTTAAGGTGGTAACCATTTTCTGTCACATTAAACTGGAGGGTAACAGCAGGAGGAGGGAGAGTTTACTGCATGCACTATTCAGTGTGATCCCACATTAGCCACAAGGCAAATGAACACTTAGAAGTGATCACTTTAAACTGCAGTGACCACAAGTATAGAATAGAGATATCATATTTCTAATTCTTAGTAAAATAAATAAATAAGATCTGGGCATGGAAACACACCTTTAACCCCAGCACTCTGAAGGTTGGAGGCAGGAGGATCAGAAGTTCAAGTCTACTCTCAATGACACAGCATAGTCTGAGGCCAGCTTGACTACTTGAGACCCTGTCTCAAAAACAAAAACAAACAAACCAAAAACAACAAAAACTAAACACCTTTCTCTCTAAAAGAGAAAAAAAGCAGTGCAACAAAAAAATAGTATTAAATTTTCAATAATTTTAAATACAGAAATTATGTGTTTTAGTCTGTTATCTTT